CAGTTCAGGAAAAAAATAAGCTTAAACTTTGGCTAGCCAAATTTCAGATTGTCAACAACCCTCACAGAGAGGTTCTAGTTTTGAGACGATAATATGTGTTTGTTCACATTAACTGAGATTTGGACTGGTTTACATTTTTCATCAAAATCTTAGATGGGAAACTCCCAGTAACATCTGCTGGAGAAATAACTATTCATATTAATATAACATATTCGGTAAATGAAGATAAGTACATGCCTATGAAAATTATCAAGGGAAAACCCATTCTTTTCACCATCAGTTCTTCTATGACATGTAAAATAGACTCAGGGATTGATTCCCATTTAAGATACTCTCCATTGAGAATAAATGGAATTGTTAGCACAGATGTGGTGAAAGGGTACCTTTGGCAGGCACAGAAAAACAGGACAAAAAAAGAGCACTGACAACAGGGAAGATGAAAGGGTGAAAGAAGCAAACAGGGCAGATTGGGAGAGCAGGTTGGGAGGAGAAAGATGGGCAAAGTTAAGTGCTCATTATGACACAAGTGTCTGGGAGATCTGTCTAGGAAAAGAACTGAGCTGAAGGCTCAGGAACAGGAAGGAAATTAATTTGAGCAAAAGTAAAGAATTACTTAATAGATAGATTAAGTCTTGGACAGAAATGGGAAATGAAAGAACATATATTAATACCATTGTGGTTTCACAATGGATAGCTATATCTTATAAAATAGATGGCATTTATACATAAAAAAATAAGAAGAGCAGGGGTGTGTTTGCATCGAGAGAGATGTTTCTTAACGCATGGCCTCAGCCATGCAATGGGACTGTCAGTTAATAGACCACTGAAAATGCCAATGTGTTTTTATAGCCCAGAGCACCTTTTAAGTTCAGAGTCTCTTTTCCGTGGAGTTCCATAAATAATTGTCAAGGTTATTTGTCAAATAAAGGTGAGGTGAGTATTCACAGTGCATCTATGAGGCTTTTGCTTTAAAAAAGAACCCAAACAACCAGATGAGAAAAATGCACAAAAGACAAGATGCTGTTAATAGTTCTGTTTTGTTCTTTTAGAACTGCAGGTTCTCCAATAAAGAAAATTATATGTTAACAGATAGTTTTCTCTGCTTTTTGGCTACGAGCAAGCTATTAGTTTAATATCTGATCTGTCCCCTTGTCAGTAGAAAGCATGCTGCTTTTGAAGGCAGATGGACTTAACAATCTAATAAGATTTTCTGGTTATTAGCTAAAATAATTGTCGCCAATAAATATTTCTAAAAACCTACAACAATTTCAGATAATGGAACATAATGACTTTAGATTTAATGTCAGAAATATGAAGTCATTGACTGGGGTGAAATTTCTGTTAGGTTCCTTGTGGGCTTTCTGTTGATCTGTCTCAGATTCATCCTTTGCTGCTGCTTTCAGGAAAGTAAATAATTTGCTGATCTCATGTCTATAATTACCTTATTTTGAGAGATTGCCTACAAGATTCTTATCTCTATAGTCTAAATTTAAAAATTATTTGTGGATTTTTAGTGTTAATACTTTAAAAAAATTCTGATATCAGTATGAATGCATGTTCTTAATTTATTTCTAGGATCACCTTAAACTAGCTGTTTTATCTCTGTAGAGATTTGTCAGTGAAGCAGTTGAAATAGATAAAAAAATTAAGAATTAGTTTTGTTTTCATTACCAAAACATGAAACACCATATTCCAGGGAACTAGATGCCCCAGATTATCTAGAACTTCTTAATTCAGACCTGGTTATTAGCAGTTATTATTCATAAGCTGTCACCCCTCAGTAACCTCCCTGATATGACTGTGGCAATGTCCTCCTTCAGGATGTGACCCCACTGCACTCAGCAGGGCTCGTGCAATCCTGAGTAGGATGAGCTGGGCTGGAAACCTTGTGGTCAGTTGGCAAGAAATTCCCAAGGGATGCTCTGGACTTCTGCAGAAAGTGGCTGCTCTATTCACTAACCCCAAAGCTGTGGGACTGCTGTGGTTCCCTGTGCCCAGGTTCAGCCAGCAGCAAGGCTCAGTTCAATATTATGGATTGTCATGCACATCTGTGTGCTCACAGACACTGGCTCAGCACAGATGGAAAGGAGGAACCTACCTGCTCCTACGTGGATGTATAGTCTTGTGTAAACATGAGTAGTGTGGGCTGCCCAGTGGTGTTTCCTTTCCTCTCCTCTCTTCCTGCTGGTCAGGATTGAAGTCTCCTAGTAGTGTGTGTATATCTATATGCACACATATTTATGTACATATATATGTGCACACATATTTCTATACACATGCACACTCCAACTGCTGAACTTAGCCACTCAAACAACCCTGCAGTTGGCCTCAGATCCCTGGTTTTCCAGTTGTTTGCATCCATCTGCCCATCTGAATGCCCTGAGGTTTGCAGCCTCGCTCCTGTGATTGGTACCCAGATCTCTTCACACACCTGCAGTCAGGTGTTTCCTGTCCCAGTTCTCTGGGAGTAGAAGCAAGAGAGTTTCTTTTCTATTAGGATAGAGTCAAGTGCAAAATTCTTTATATAGCTAGACAGATATAAGAATTTGACAAGCCCCAGGATCTACTGTGAATAATTCCCTTGCACTGGGAAATATACCAGAATATGTACTTTTGCACTTTCCCAGAAATGAAATTCTGACAGTATATTGAAAAAGGTTTCTTTTAACATGGAACCATCTCTTGCTAAAGGGCTGTGAAGCTGTGTATTCTGAAAAGCTGAAAAAATATTTTAGACATGACCCTATTATTAAAGTATCAGTATCTGACATTTAGCAGAATGTCTTATAGGTCCTTGTCTAAAATGGGCACACCAACTAAATTTTAGAGAAGAGAAATTCCTATTCTACTGGTGAATTTGATCACATTTAAAAATATGTTTGCGTGTCTCTTGTTTGCTAGTCTGGATCTTTCCTCTCACAAACACTGTGAAATAAACTCGTCTTGAATTTACAGTGTCTTATATAAAAATGTGAAGTGAATGGTAGTGAGAAAGCAATAAACTCAAAGTGGCAACTTGATTTTAGTAGTATGTTGTGTATTGGGATGTTTTATACGCCATCAGTGTACATGCCTACATATTCTTTGTCTCCCCATAAAATGGATTTTACCCCAGCAAATAGGATTATGGCAGCATATAATTGCTAAGAAGGACATACCTTGTTTAGCTATAAACTGCCTTCTTACATAATTTCAGGAACAAAATGCAGAAATTGTGTATACTCAGCAGGCCCATTTTATATTTTCATTCAGCAAATAGTTTACAAGCTGATAACATTTCACAGCTCTTTTTTTTTTTTTTCTTTCTACATAAAGCAATTTTAGAGAATCTGCTATAGGTTAAGACTAGGGAACAGCAAATGACAAAACAAGGCCTCTTGAATGAAATTGTTATTGCCACATTTCATTCAAACTAAGATATCAGGATTTCTTCACTTCAGATTGCAGTCATCAATGCTCCCATGTTGACACAAATTTTACTTCAACAATCTACGAAGCTGATTAAGTAGAAATAGTGTAAAAAATAGAAACTCGGAGTATATGTCTTCTCTTGACTCATTTTGCTACAATAACAACATTTTCATGTTGTATTGCAGCTGGATATTAAAACCTGATATCTTTTTACTGACAGAGGTCAAGTTGTTCCAACATTACACTGCAATTTAGAGTGAGAACACATGTCTTTATTTATATCAACATAAAACACAGATTTTGCTGGCTGGACATTGTTTTTCAGGGTGAATATCTCACTGGACTTTCTAATCTTTTTAGCTGGTGAATTGCTTTTCTTCCACCTCTGTACTCTAAACTGTTTTACAGAGAACATTGGTGACCCTCAGCAAACTTTTTAGGCAGGTTCCAGGTATCTGTTGCATTATTTAATCTAGTTTTGGTGGTAATTCTTCTGTCAATGGGTTTTCACACACTCCACATTACAACATTCTTTGCCAGGCTTTTATTTCAATAGTAAATCTACATATAGGTTTTAGCCATGTTGGAGCCTATGACTTGTTTGTAGTTTTTCCTCTCCCATCTAATCATCAATGTTTATCTCATCTTCCTCTTTTTATTATATCTTGTGGTTCGATTTTTTTTATCAACCCTGCAGTCTACGGATGCCCCATACTTCTGTCTTTTTCTTTAATACACTCTTTTTTTTTTCTCTTTGTCACTATCTATGTGATGTCTACAGCATGACCACAGTTTTTTTAAGAAATGCATTCAAATATGTAATGGTAAAGGTATCAAAATTTCATGGAACGCCTTTGCAAATGCTGTAAAATAAGTTGCAAAACTCCTTCTGTGTCATTAAGTGTCTATTTAATATTTCCAGTAACCAAACCCTAATGTAGCCCTAGCATGTCCAATCCTCACAGTTTTTAGTTCAGAGAATGATCTTCCTGCTCTTCAGGAAGAAATCTGTCTCCTCAGCCTTTATCCATCACAGATGAAAAAAAAAAAAAGCAAGTTGCAATGCAATGGATATTTTTCATTGTAAAAATGAGATATTCTATTAGCTCATAGGTGTTTCCATAACATTAATGTCAGGAAAATTTACTTTTATTTGGCAGATTGGTGTTTGGGAGTTGTCACAGGACATACCTGGTCTGGCTGAGAAGTCAGTGGCTCAAGGAGCTTTCATTCTTAGAACTATTGAAAGTGCAAGACAAAAACAAGTAAATTAGCTTCAGAACTACGGGGGCACCAAAATGCAGCAGAAGGACAAAGTTGCCTGTGAAGACAGACGTATAAAAACCACACTGGACCTAGCAGGTCCCTATAAAACAAAGGACTTTACAAACTCAGGGTAAGAGAACTGGCAGAGAATACGGTTTGTTTATTCACATCTTGTTCATACACAGATTCATGTGCTAGTATTTCTTAGGTAAAAAAAAAAAGAAAAATCTTGAGCTCTAAAGCAGAGAAGAACAGGCAGCAGTTCTGGCCTGCTCTTCTGGCCAATTCTCTGTCTGGAGGAGGTATTTGTTGCTAGGCAAAGCCTGAACATGCAGTGCAAGAGCTGATCCCTGGAGATCTGGGTGCAGTGGGCAATGGGAGAAGAAGGTACCCTGGAGCAGAGGAGGAACCTTGCCTGTACTTGTAGGTAATTATCTAAAAGCACAGCAAATTTTTCAGATTTTACTGTTGCTTGGGAGAAATCTGAAATTTCTTGTACTAGAAAGAAAGGCTTGAGGAAAAGGTTTATCCTGCAGAACCTGGGTGGGTGGAAGAGTGATTCTGTATTTTAGCTTGTCTCACCCAGTGGATGAGTGTTTTCCCTCTATAAGATTAACGACTTCTGTTTACTGCAGTCTTGTTTTAATATTAAAAGCTTGAGAGACAGACCTATAGTAATGGCTGTAAAATATTTAAAAGAAAGTTTTTCACATGTAACATGAAATATATGTATATGTACGGGATAAGTTTTATTATGATTTCTACTGCTTTGAAGATAGAATCTAGAAATTCAGAAAGCTGAAGGACACAAATTAAGTTAAAGTAAATAAAAATATTAATATTTACCAATTTTAAAGTATTTTCTCATGTTCTAAAGACATCTTGTATTGTTAGATTGAACTGGTCATTTTACTTCCATGAGAAAAAAAGTCATTAAAAGATTAATGATAGGAGTGCATGGAAGAAACAATTTAGAATAAACTGACTACTGAAGCAAATTATAGAACAAGGAAAATGCAAAGGACATCTAAAACAGGGAAGGTTGTCTAGTGGCTTATGCATTAGACTTCACATGGAAAGGAGATGTCTTTGTCCTGGAATATATTCAATCCAGAGGACAAGCAGAAACTGCCTAGACAGAGATATTACTAAATGGAAAAGTAGACAAGGGCACATATGTGATGTAGAGCAAGGCCAAACTCTTCACAGTTTATTGAGCCAGGTGCAATGCCTCATGCATGTGCCCATTTCAACCTTTGGCACCCATCTAGCAAAAAAATAACCCCTCACCCCAAATAAGATGGCATATCTGATCGGAAAAGCAAATTATGACCTTGCAATTCTGCAATTCAAAATTCTGACTAGTCACCAACATATGAATGGATTAATATTAGGAGATAAGTGAACTGTGTAAGATGAAGGTTTTAATAATAACCTGTAAGTATTTGAAAGTGTTATAGATTATCTCAGATAAATTTTCTACATGATTAAAGCATTAAACTAATACTGCATTTTCCATGCATTTTTGTACTCTTGCATTTTGACAACTAGCTTTTTTCAAGTTTTGGTATTGGCAGTTGCTTTTTAAAGCATTTAGATTTTCCTAATGTTTTGCATAATCATTTAAAAAACACAAACCACTAATGTGAGGATTTAGTTCTAATAGACGTGGAGTGTGAGTCCATGAAAATATTCATTGTACTTGAATGCACTGGCCATCAGCTGTGTGATATGAAATGACCCTTCCTGCTTGGAAATTCAAGACAGATCACAACCACAATGGATTTTCATGCCGTAAACCTATTCATTTTGATCCATAGTTTAGAGAAGTTCTGAGAGCAAGAGATCCTAGGAATGAAATCAGAAGTAGGGCCTAGATGAAAGACAGAATGAAAATGTATTTTTTACGAAAAACATGATGGGATTCAGGTTTTGTTTACGTTTTTTGTTGTTGTTGTTATACTTTGTTAGAAAATGGATTTGATTGTGTACCAAATTTGTCATCCATAGAGCAGGAAATATTTTTCAGCTAATGTTAGTTATGTGTTACTTGCCAAGAATCCTTAATGAGCTGAACCCAAAGAGCATTTTTGGTGACTGTCCCTTGTAAGCAAAGTAAATGTAGACTTAATTAGAGTTGCTGTTTTTCAGAAATTCATACCCTAGCTGAAGTCTAAGTGCCTGAATAGGGTTCTTGAGAAGCTGAGAAACTGCATTTGGGAGTCTGGGTCTATGTATTGGGTTTGTGCTGCCAGGTTTTGGTAGCTGGGGGGCTACAGGGGTGGCTTCTGTGGCAAGCTGTCAGAAGCTTCCTCCATGTCTGGCAGAGTCAATCCCCGCCAGAGCCAAGACTAACATGCCACAGGCCAAGGCTGTGCAAACCAGAAATGATGGTAGAAAAACATATTCAAGAGGAAAAAAAAAAAAAAGTTGTTGTGCAGATGTAACTCTGGCCAAAGAAGAGGGAGGTGAAAATATGTGAGGAACAGCTCGCAGACACCAAGGTCAGTGCAGGCAGGGCAGGAGATGCTCCAGGCACCAGAGCTGAGATTCCCCTGCAGCCCCTGGTGCAGCCCCTGGTGAGGCAGCTGTGCTCTGCAGCCCTTGGAGGCCGTGGGGGTGCAGAGATCCACCTGCAGCCCTTGGAGGAGCCCTCCACTGGAGCAGGTGGGTGCCTGAGAGGAGGCTGTGATCCCATGGGAGGCCTGTGCTGGAGCAGGCTCCTGGCTGGGACCTGTGGACCCAAGGAGAGAGGAGCCTATGCTGGAGCAGGTGTCCTGTTAGGGCCTGTGACCCCAAGGATACCCACATTGGAGCAGCCTGTCCTTGAAGGGATGTATCCCATGGAAGAGTGACCCACAGGAGACAGTTTTCCACAGCAGTTTGTGGAAAACTGTCTCCTGTGGGACAGACTCACATTGCAGAAGTTCATGGAGGACTGTCTCCCATGGAGGGCCTCACAATGGAGCAGGGAAGGATTGCTCTCCCTGAGCAGCAGCAGAAATAACCAGTGATGAACTAATTATAATCCCCACTCTCTGTCTCTCTCCACTGCTGCAGGGGATGAGTTAGAGATGGGAAGAAGGGAAGAATAGGGTTAAGGTGTTTTTAAGGTCTTATTTTCCTTCTCATTATCTGGCGCTGATTTTGTTAGCACTAAATTCAATTAATTTGCTAATTCTAGTCTGTTTTACCCATGATGATATTTGATGAGTGATCTCCCTCTGTCCTTCCCTCTCCGTCGACTGATGAATGCTTTGTTATATTTTCTTTCCCCTGTCCAGCTGCAAGGGGTGGGATAGAGCAGCTTTGGTGGGTGTCTGGAATCTAGCCAGGGACATCCCATTGCAGTCTGCCAGCAGTTTTCCAATATTCCAGAACGGTCTTTTTAAGAGGAATCTGTTTTCTGCCTTCATGTTCTCAGACAATCCAACTGGTGAAAATTTATCTTCAAACCAGACACTGTGTATTTATAGCAGCATGATGGTTTGCCTGAGCTTTGGTTGGGAAAGTGATATCTGAATTCTCTTCATTTCCTTGGACTTTCAGATCCTTCCTACATGATAGGATCTTCATTCTCCCTTTCATTGTTGCTTTTCCTTGTACCTGAAATTCTTATTTCAGGTGATCTCACTTGAATATTTTCAGTCCAACTACTCATGCTATAATATATTAATGGAAGGACACATTTACCTCCCCAGAGTTCTGTATTTGAAAAGTCTTGCTAGACTATGCATCATATCAGGCACAGGAGTAGAAGGCACAATTTGTAATCTGAATATGGTCACTAAGTAATCTACACTTTCTTTTGCCTTTTTATAACTCAATTTAAAGAAAATAAAGGTGCCAATTACTTCTGTTCCTATATTCCTTGCGATACAACAGCAGTTAAAAGAAACCGCCCTTACTGAAAGATTTGTAACATTCAGTGTTTTTGTTGTTTTAACTACCAGTTATTCTTTGCAAGGCAGTAGATTAATTCATTGGTTTAATTTCTATACATAGTTTTTAGTTTAAATTATTATACAAATATTTTCTATTAACAAATAGCCTTATTCCTTCCAGGGACAATTTAGGATTTTGCTTGAAAGTTTGGAAGGCTACAGTCTGCTGTCTTGTAGGAGAACATTTATTAGCTGCAAAGCTTTCAGCTCTGATATCTGACCACTTTAATTGTCACTGTAATTGATTTTACCTTTGTCTTGGCATTGTGATTGCTTTGCAATTTGTTGGTGATTAGTGGCTGTCCCCTGGTTACCCTGCTTATCTAGGCCTGAGACATAAACCAGGCTTGCTTTGACTCTGACTTGTCCTAAACAATGTCAAAAACTATTTGGTTCAAATTTATCATATAGGGAAAAAAGAAACTCAGCACATTAATGTCATCCCAGCCTCTCAGCTCAGCAGATGGAGAGCTGCAATAGGCTTTGCAGAAAGCCTGTTTTCCTTTTTAAACAGAGATGCATGGGGACTTAGCTTTTCCTGCTTCTAGGGTGGCCCACATCATTTACCTTGCCTTTAATTTGGCATGGTGGTAAAAAACACTTTTCTGCACAAGCCACAGGCAAAAATTTGTGCCCTTATGTATTTACCTAATATTCCTTTTCTTGCCTGAAGCTGAGATGTTAAGGTTGACCTGAGTCTAATTTGGAGTTTAAACAGATTTATCCGAGATTATGATTTTGTTTGGGTTTGGTTTTTATTTGGTTTGTTTTTATATGTTTGATTTTTTTGTATTGTTTTATTTTGGTTTTGGGGGTTTTGTTTGTTTTTGTTCTTTTTGTCTGGTTTGTTTTTTTTTGTTTTAACTACAAGTGAAAGTATGAGCTTGTGTTTACAAAGCAATGAGGCTGCAGCAGATGAACGTACTCTGTTGTCAGATTCTGGGTTTCAGATTGATATCCCTGGGCCTTAAATGTAAGGTTTTGGATTTCTGAAAGAGATGCTGTCTTTTCTTTTTCTTTCCAAGTCACTGAAATAGCCTATAATTTCCTTTGTCTTTAGAAAAATTTAATGTTTCTTCCCAGGTGTCCCAGCTTTAAACTTTTTTTTTTCTTCCACTTCTTATTTCCATGTAGGAATTGAGACAAATGTAATATCACTATTTCTTGATGTGTGCCCTAAATTCCATCATAATCTGTAAGCTTAGAACCAGTTAATAATCTTCAGTGGTAACTTTTCAGGTGTAGCCATCAGAGAAGTGGCTGTCCCCCAAATGGACCATAATTCTGGAATAACTACTGAAATATCTGCTCAAGCCAATCAAGACATTTGTCAGTTTGTTAAGATAGAAAGGGAAGAGATGCCAACCTCCTTTTGAAGGGGTTCTAAGATTTCCCCTCTCTGACATGCAGTTGGATTTATCACTTTGCAACGTGGTTTGCTGAGTTCCTTCTCATCTCTGTCTCTTCTCTCTGAACATGTTGC